GGATGTTGGTGGCTAGCTAAGTAGAGAGAGGTTTGGTAAGGACATCTACGTCTCTGGTCATGTCTCCGCCCCTCTCGATGCCTCATTCCGTCTCTGGTCATGTCCCCGCCCCTCTCTATGTATGCGCCCTCAACGCTCCGTCCATGTCCCTCCCCCTCATCATGCCCGCGCCACCCACTCTCTCCTTGTCTCCGCCCCTCGGAGCCTTCGCTGGAACACCGTGTTGACGTCTCTCCTCCATGTGACGAGTCACATGACTTCTGACGCCCCGCCGCCTCCGCTAGTCACCACTTCCGCCTCTTCCCACGTGGTTGCACAGTGACGGACCGGTAAGAGGAGGAGCCTGTGAAAGGGGAGGAGTCGGGAGAGACATGGAGGGACCGGACCCGCCGGGTGAGATGTCATTCCCGGCCTGTTGTGTCATACGTGGGGGAGGGGAGGGTTGTGTCATGGTCACCCTCTCACCATGGTGTATACGCGGAGACGTCACATGGTCAGGCTCTGACAACATACCTCATGCGACGGGTAACCGGGTGTGAAATGCGAACTGTCTGTGTGACCCGGAAATCACCGAAATGACCGGGGACACCACAAACAGTCCACACTGAACTATTTACTCCAATGTGTTAGAAGGGGGAGGGGAACATGTACATCAGGGGGGGGATCCTTGTTATTGGGGAAGGAATCTCATATCTGGGTGGAGTCCTGCCATTGGTGGAGGGGCTCTCATATGTGGGTGGAGTCCTGTAATTGGGGAGGGGCTCCCATATGAGGGTGGAGTCCTATAATTGGGGAGGGGCTCCCATATGAGGGTGGAGTCCTATAATTGGGGAGGGGCTCTCTTATGTGGGTGGAGTCTTCTGTGACCTATGAATGTCTCTCCTCACAGGTGGCGGGAAGAACAAGATGGCGGATTCTAAACAAACCAAGGTACCGTTCTTGCACACCTAGAGGGGAGCCGGGGATGACGCATACGCACACCTAGAGGGGAGCCGGGGATGCCGCATACGCACACCTAGAGTGGCGCCGGGGGATGCCGCGTACGCACACCTAGAAGGGCAGCCGGGGATGCCGCGTACGCACACCTAGAAGGGCAGCCGGGGATGCCGCGTACACACACATAGAGGGAAGCCGGGGATGCCGCGTACACACACATAGAGGGGAGCCGGGGATGCCGCGTACACACACATAGAGGGGAAGCCGCCTACACACACATAGAGTGGGAGCCGGGGATGCCGTATACACACACCTAGAGGGGAGCCGAGGATGCCGTGTACACACACCTAGAGGGGAGCCGAGGATGCCGTGTACACACACCTAGAGGGGAGCCGAGGATGCCGTGTACACACACCTAGAGGGGAGCCGAGGATGCCGTGTACACACACCTAGAGGGGAGCCGAGGATGCCGTGTACACACACCTAGAGGGCAGCCGGGGATGCCGCGTACACACACATAGAGGGGTGCCAGGGATGCCGCGTACGCACACAGAGGGGAGCCCAGTGTGTCTCTGGTGGGGACTCTGATGGGTGAGGGTGTCTCTGGGGAGGACTCTGATGGGTGAGGGTGTCTCTGGGGAGGACTCTGATGGGTGTCTCTGTTTTGGTGTCTCCTGCGTGCAGGTGAAAGGTCAGGACCTGTCCAAGGAGGAGAAGTTGAGGTTGCGGAAGGAGAAGAAGCAGCAGAAGAAGAACAAGGAGAAGGCGGGGGAGGAGACTGTGGACGGGGCACAGAATGTGGCTGCACGGAAAGGTATTGGGGGACACTGACGGGTATTGAACCCCTTTTCTCTGCAGGCCCCTCCCCCTAATCCGAGGGCATAGAATGTTCTGGGTTTTCCTGACCTGGCTTTCTGGTCTTCCAGCTGAGGCGCAGCCTGCCATCACAGCACCACCGGCACCACCAACCGCTGCCGAGCCAACAACTGAAGCTCCGCCCACAGGGAAGAGCAAGGCCGAGATGAGGGCGGAGAGGAGAGCCAAGCAAGAGGCCGAGCGGGCACAGAAACAGGGCAAGAAGACTGAGCAGAGTGGGGGGCCGGCACCGAGCAAACCCAAGAGCCAGCCCACCGACCTCCAGACAGGTGAGCGAAGGAAGATCCGGGACAGGCGGGAGAGGGAAGGAAGAGCGGGGACAGACAGGGGGCGAGAAGGAAGAGCGGGGACAGACGGGGGGAGAGAAGGAAGAGCGGGGACAGACGGGGGAGGGAAGGAAGAGCGGGGACAGACGGGTGAGAGGAGAGGGGGAAGCGGGGAGCAGATGGGATTAGTGTTCTGGTATCAGTGATGTCCGTGGCGGGTGTGGTGGGTCGCTCCGGTCCTCAGGAAGGGTGTGCAGTTGCCCCAGTACTCTCTATGGCGATGTACACACTGATAACGCGCCCCATGTGTCTGCAGTGAAGCGCCTCCCGGAACACGTTCAGGTCGATGATCCGGCGGCGCAGAGGAAGTTGGCCAAGAAGTTGGAGAGACAGCAGGTGGGTGCGATGAAACGTCTTCGTTCCTTATACACTCGGCGCAGACGCGCGACGATGATGACGCTTCTATACATGGCGCCCACTTTGTGTAAATATCGCAGTGACTGCTGGGACATGTAGTTTGACGGGGTCACTTCTAGAAACCGCTTCCTGAATGAAGGGGGGGAGGGATCTCTGGATAGCCCCGCCCACCACATCCTTAGGACTGGAAGGGCGGAAGCGCTGATTGAAACACTGACACCCCTGAGAATTATGGGTAACATTTGGGCTATCGTCTCCGTTTCTATGGAGCTCCTGCACATCACATGGTACATCACACATAGACACGGGGCTCCATTCACCCGTAACAATCGTCATTCTCCGCCGGGAGCACCGCCGGGAGCTGCAGGTAAGTCACATGATCATGGCGGCATGTATCGTACACGTTTCAGCTTAGTGAATTCAGCCAGACGTATGACATGAAATCAGTCCGGTGCTAACGATCATCATTCATTCCCCGCTTCCCTCCAGATTATTGGGAGAGCCGCGGCTGGCCCCGAGCCGGAGGTTGGTGCAGCGTGCTTTGTGATTGGTTAATGCCGTGTCTGCTGAGAGTGATTTAAGGGCAGGCGGCTGAGGTGTCGCCATGTCTGCTTATTAATTGCAAGCCTGGAGGGTTCTGCTCTGGAACGACCATTGCCGGGGATCTTCACAGAAAGGTGTGAAGCCCCGCCCACTGGCAGGCCATCATCCCTGTACATCACGGAGCCCCGCCTACTGACCATCATCCTTGTACAGAGCGGAGCTCCGCCTACTGACAGGTCATTATCCATGTACAGAGCGGAGCCCCGCCTACTGACGTGTCATCATCCCTGTACAGAGCGGAGCCCCGCCTACTGACATGTCATCATCCCTGTACAGAGCGGAGCCCCGCCTACTGACATGTCATCATCCCTGTACAGAGCGGAGCTCCGCCTACTGGCAGGTCATCATCCATGTACAGAGCGGAGCCCCGCCTACTGGCAGGTCATCATCCCTGTACAGAGCGGAGCCCCGCCTACTGACGTGTCATCATCCCTGTACAGAGCGGAGCCCCGCCTACTGACGTGTCATCATCCCTGTACAGAGCGGAGCTCCGCCTACTGACGTGTTGTCATCCCTGTACAGAACGGAACCCCGCCTACTGGCAGGTCATCATCCCTGTACAGAGCGGAGCCCCGCCTACTGGCAGGTCATCATCCATGTACAGAGCGGAGCTCCGCCTACTGGCATGTCATCATCCCTGTACAGAGCGGAGCCCCGCCTACTGACGTGTCATCATCCCTGTACAGAGCGGAGCCCCGCCTACTGACGTGTCATCATCCCTGTACAGAGCGGAGCCCCGCCTACTGACGTGTCATCATCCCTGTACAGAGCGGAGCCCCGCCTACTGACGTGTCATCATCCCTGTACAGAGCGGAGCCCCGCCTACTGACGTGTCATCATCCCTGTACAGAGCGGAGCCCCGCCTACTGACGTGTCATCATCCCTGTACAGAGCGGAGCCCCGCCTACTGACGTGTCATCATCCCTGTACAGAGCGGAGCCCCGCCTACTGACGTGTCATCATCCCTGTACAGAGCGGAGCCCCGCCTACTGACGTGTCATCATCCCTGTACAGAGCGGAGCCCCGCCTACTGACGTGTCATCATCCCTGTACAGAGCGGAGCCCCGCCTACTGACGTGTCATCATCCCTGTACAGAGCGGAGCCCCGCCTACTGACGTGTCATCATCCCTGTACAGAGCGGAGCCCCGCCTACTGACGTGTCATCATCCCTGTACAGAGCGGAGCCCCGCCTACTGACGTGTCATCATCCCTGTACAGAGCGGAGCCCCGCCTACTGACGTGTCATCATCCCTGTACAGAGCGGAGCCCCGCCTACTGACGTGTCATCATCCCTGTACAGAGCGGAGCCCCGCCTACTGACGTGTCATCATCCCTGTACAGAGCGGAGCCCCGCCTACTGACGTGTCATCATCCCTGTACAGAGCGGAGCCCCGCCTACTGACGTGTCATCATCCCTGTACAGAGCGGAGCCCCGCCTACTGACGTGTCATCATCCCTGTACAGAGCGGAGCCCCGCCTACTGACGTGTCATCATCCCTGTACAGAGCGGAGCCCCGCCTACTGACGTGTCATCATCCCTGTACAGAGCGGAGCCCCGCCTACTGACGTGTCATCATCCCTGTACAGAGCGGAGCCCCGCCTACTGACGTGTCATCATCCCTGTACAGAGCGGAGCCCCGCCTACTGACGTGTCATCATCCCTGTACAGAGCGGAGCCCCGCCTACTGACGTGTCATCATCCCTGTACAGAGCGGAGCCCCGCCTACTGACGTGTCATCATCCCTGTACAGAGCGGAGCCCCGCCTACTGACGTGTCATCATCCCTGTACAGAGCGGAGCCCCGCCTACTGACGTGTCATCATCCCTGTACAGAGCGGAGCCCCGCCTACTGACGTGTCATCATCCCTGTACAGAGCGGAGCTCCGCCTACTGACGTGTTGTCATCCCTGTACAGAACGGAACCCCGCCTACTGGCAGGTCATCATCCCTGTACAGAGCGGAGGCCCGCCTACTGGCGGGGGATCAACCTGACGTGTCATCATCCCTGTACAGAGCGGAGCCCCGCCTACTGACGTGTCATCATCCCTGTACAGAGCGGAGCCCCGCCTACTGACGTGTCATCATCCCTGTACAGAGCGGAGCCCCGCCTACTGACGTGTCATCATCCCTGTACAGAGCGGAGCCCCGCCTACTGACGTGTCATCATCCCTGTACAGAGCGGAGCCCCGCCTACTGACGTGTCATCATCCCTGTACAGAGCGGAGCCCCGCCTACTGACGTGTCATCATCCCTGTACAGAGCGGAGCCCCGCCTACTGACGTGTCATCATCCCTGTACAGAGCGGAGCCCCGCCTACTGACGTGTCATCATCCCTGTACAGAGCGGAGCCCCGCCTACTGACGTGTCATCATCCCTGTACAGAGCGGAGCTCCGCCTACTGACGTGTTGTCATCCCTGTACAGAACGGAACCCCGCCTACTGGCAGGTCATCATCCCTGTACAGAGCGGAGCCCCGCCTACTGGCAGGTCATCATCCATGTACAGAGCGGAGCTCCGCCTACTGAAAGGTCATTATCACTGTACAGAGCGGAGCCCCGCCTACTGACGTGTCATCATCCCTGTACAGAACGGAGCCCCGCCTACTGACGTGTCGTCATCCCTGTACAGAACGGAGCCACGCCTACTGACGTGTCATCATCCCTGTACAGAGCGGAGCCCCGCCTACTGACGTGTCATCATCCCTGTACAGAGCAGACCCCCCTGGGCAGATGGCGCTCCCCCGCTGGCAGCATTCTGGGACTTGTGGTACCTGCAGTGATGTCGGTCTGTATTATACTCTGATTGCTGCGCTTCTGACTCGTGTCTTCCTCCTCCAGGTTCCTCTGCGGCAGGATTACGGAACGAAGGTCAGCTTGTTCTCTCACCTCCATCAGTACAGCCGGAAGATGCCCCTCACCCAACAGCTGAGGTGAGCGGGTGGCTGGGGCCCCTACGGCTGCATATTGTGTCCCTATATCCATTGATGTGTGTCCCTACGCCCACGGCCCTCCCGTCGTGTGTCCCTACACCCGCGGCCCTCCCGTCGTGTGTCCCTACGCCCGCGGCCCTCCCGTCGTGTGTCCCTACGCCCGCGGCCCTCCCGTCGTGTGTCCCTACGCCCGCGGCCCTCCCGTCGTGTGGCCCTACGCCCACGGTCCTCCCGTCGTGTGGCCCTACAGTCGCAGCCCTTCCATCATGAAAGTCATGTGATCGTATCAAGGTAGTCACAAGGTCAGCACATTCAGCAATGGTTACAGAGATGGGCCGGTATTGGCATACAGAGACCAGACACGGGACATGATCATGTATGTTACACGGGAGAAGTCCCAGGAGAACATATCTGGCCAGAGTCACCAAGAGCAAAGTGCGATTCCCCATAATAGCCAATCAGAATCTCTTCTCCTGGTCACACCTCTGTTCAGAGAGTTCTGATTGGTCGGTGCACTCTGCATTGTTTAGTGTGGTCAGCAGAATGAACATGCGTCGGGTATACTCGCTCTATATTTCGTCGTGTCAGAGGGCCGCAGGCAGCAAGTGGGCCATGTATGGTCGTTCAGCATCTGTCCACCGGCCTCTCAGTGATCCCCCTCTCCTGATTGGTCAGATGTTGGTAAAAGCCCTGCACATAGTTTGATGTTTCTGGTGCCGTCCTTAGCAGAGCTCTATAAAGTTCCTTCATTATTGATCTCTTCTCTCTCCAGCATCCCGTCCTCCGTGATACACCCGGCTGTGGTGAGGCTCGGCCTCCAGTACTCGCAGGGTATTATCAGCGGCTCCAACGCCAGATGTATCGCATTACTGCACTGCTTCAAACAGGTACGGCCTCCTCAGTGTCCACCTCCGATACTATCCCCACCCCTTACCTGCCAACCCTGCCCCAGATCCTTCCACTCACCTTCCAACCCTACCCAGGCCTGGATATCCAACCCTCACCTTCCAACCCCACCCAGGCCTGGATATCCAACCCTCACCTTCCAACCCCACCCAGGCTTGGATATCCAACCCTCACCTGCCAACCCGTCCGTAGTTCCAGATACCCACCCCTCACCTGCCAACCCGTCCTCAACCACCCAGAGAGAACCCCTGAGTGGCTATAGATCATCACACTGCTCTCTATGTCGTTTAGGTGATCCGGGACTACAGCACTCCGCCCAATGAGGAGCTGTCACGAGACCTGGTCAACAAGCTGAAGCCCTCCATTAGGTCAGTGGTCTGTGCTTCGGCAGGGGGTGTGACCTCTGTTTTGTAGGTGTGGCCTTTGTCTGGGGGAAGTGGGGCGTGAAAGTATTCTTTATAAAAGTGGGAGTGCATGTGGGGAGGAGGGGTGTGACCTTGATATGTGGGTGTGTTCTGCTGGGTTGCGGCAGCTTTCCGATTGTCAGGGCTGACCCCTGCTTTGCTGGCAGTGGCTTTCATTAAGGGTGGTCTCTGGGACTCGTCTCTTGGGCAGTCTCTCTCTCTCTCTCTCTCTCTCTCTCTCTCTCTCTCTCTCTTTGGCCTCTCTCTCTCTCTC